CTCCCAGCAGTACCAGGGAGAGAACTGCAAGGACCCAAGGGCGGAGCTAAGCAGGCATTCTGGGACTTTGGGGAATAAATAGGGCACCATTTTCCACGGTGCTCTCTTGCTCTGGAAAAGGCTCTCAGGACCACATGGCTTGGGGCTCTCAGTTAGTTTGTCACCAGAGCTCTAAGTCAGCCGAGCCAGTAAGATATCCCTCTCTCTTTCCCTAGGTTGTTCCTTTTCTTTCCCCCTTTTGTAAATAAATTTGTTATTGACCCTTTTGTGTGTGCCTGCAGTACAACTGAATTTTAAGCGTGTGGGTGAGGTCCCACAGACAGGCAGCCCAGTTCACACTGGGGTGCCCTGTAACATTTTGACTCGTGTCCTTGACAGAGTCCGGGATCCACTTCACGACCTCAGAGGCAGTAGCCATGAGAGAGACTGCACGGCCCGCTGTGCTTAAAATAGCTCCTACTGGCCAGTCTCTGCCAGAGGTGTTGGAAGCTATTGGTGGGCTGTCAGCAGAGAAAACATGGTCAAATCTGTGTTTTCTCTTTCTGTCCTGCTGGTCTGACATAGGGGTGGGCTGGGGCAGAAAAGCCTGTGGGACACAGAGGGCGCTGGGAGGCTGCTACTGCAGGTCAGGTGGGGGTGCCTGTGAGTAGCATCACTGGCATTTATCAAGATTATGAAGAGTTGTGCCTTTCCACACATCCCCCCTTTATATAGCAAGTGCAGAAAGGGCTGTCGCCCCCATTTTACAGACATGGCACAGAGTTAAGTAGCCTTCCTAGGTCACCCAGCTGGCAGACCCAGGATGCAAACCCAGCACCAAGTTCAAGGTCTTTGGGGTCAAGCATGTTTGCTTGTTGACAAACTCCTTTGAGCTTCCCTGAAAATGCACAGAGCCCAAGTCCTCTGCAAGAGAAATTCTACCCTGAGTCAATCGGGCAGGAAGTGGGAGGCAGGAGTGTGGCTATTTTGGAAAAGCGACACAAAAAACCACGAAACTTCCTACCTGTCCCGTCTTGCTCCCATCTGTCCTCGGAAACAAGGCTGCCCCTCTCTTAGATAAAAAGGTGTTTTTCCCCACACAGCGGCTGTGCTGCTGGCGGTGGGAGAGAGCACTAAGCTTAGCACATGTGCGCTATATTTAAAGGGCTGTATAAACAAACAGGGCTATGTGAATAAGACAAAATGAGGTCATCATTTTAAAATCTAAAAATTTTCTTTTCTATGGGGTAAGCAGCTAAACCTCAGAAAGAACTGGTGCTTTTTTTTTTCCCCCTCGAGGCCTTCTCTATCCCACTGGACCCTAAAGCCACCAGGCTGGCCCCACCCTTTCTTGCAGCCACTGAGGTAAAGTTGGTGGCTGGAAGCTTGGACTCCTGGGTTTTATTCCTGGTTCTGTGGCATTTGCGTTGAATGTCCACCCCCAGCCACTATCTCCTTGGAGCCTTGACTTCTGTCCTCATCCAGGCTACTTGCATTGCCCAAACTCTCAAAGACCTCTTCCTGCACAGCCTGGCTGGGCCGGTCAGCCCAGCCAACACCTCTGCAGCGCCCCCGTGTCTCCCCTGCTCAATGGCCAAAAAGCTACTTACATGCTCCCTCCCCACCTCTTCACCCCCCTTCAATTGATCTGCACATATTTTAACTTTTTCTTCTAGACTCTTCTTCCAACCTGATAGCTGGAAATCACTAGAACAGTCCTGGAGAGCTGGACTAGGGAGCATTAAGAAACACCTCAAGTTCTGGCAGGGGCTCCCGAAGCTGTTCTATGTTTTGGGGGTCCTTTTTCCACCATGGTAGTCCCCCTCCCTGCCACCCACAGCCTCCTCTCACTTCTTTCTTCTCCCATCTTTTATTACCTCCCATCTGCCTCTCTTCCTCACTCTCAGCACCCTGGGCTCCTCTGTTATCCTGAAGCACAGAAATGAAATCCACCAAAAGCGCTGTTTTCAAACTTTGTTCTATGGATGTGTCAGAGGACCTCTAACAGCTATGTGAGACTTTTAGTCTAAAAAAGAGCACTTGACTCTTCTGAAAACCACTATGGAAGATGGACCAGCCCATTCCAACATGCTCTGTGGCCCCTGAGCAACAACCAATCTGGGTACAGACCTTGGATCACCAAGAGGTGGTAACCCTGGATTTAGTGATGAAATGTTCTTGAATGAGAAGGAGTAGAGCTTTCTGGGTATCTTCATGTTGCTGTTTTTAAATTTAAGACGATACACATCTATATAAACCACACAAGCACGTACATACGAAAGTTTTCTATTGTACAAGAATGTGTTATATGGATCATTACCAAGAAATCATAAAAGGCCATGTGCTTCTGAGCATTGCAATAAAAGGGATTCAAGCTGTTGTTTGAAGAATGCAAACCAGAATCCCTCTAGCCCTCCCCAAATGTCCACAAACCACTAAGCTGAAGACAGACCATCCTGGCTGCAAGGTGAGATGATAGAGACCTGTTGGCACCATGTCACCTGACTTTTCTCAATATTGAGCAACCAAGTGAAGCAAAACAGCTGATACAGGCCCTCCCTGGTGGCACAGCAGGTTGGAGCACAGCACTGCACAGCTGGCTGTGGCTGCTTCAGTGAGAGTTTGGTCCCCGGCCCCGGAGGTGACCCACATGGCGCGGCAGACCTCTCCTGTCCCACCCGCTGTTCCCCTCAGCAGTGTACTTCCTTGATCTGCTCCCCACTATGTCTCTGGTGAATCCTCTCATCCTCTGCACCTGTAGCCCAGTTCTGAATGCATACATAAATAAAACCTTTAATAACAAATAAAAATAGCTGATAGAGCCACACGACGGTCACCTCGTGGCCAACAAAGTTCTGCTGAGGACCAAATAGTTTTGTCTTTGTGGAACAGATAGTCTCTGTCACAGCTGCTTGATCACAGAACAGTGGAAAGCAGCCATAATTCTTTGTAAGTGAGTGGCAAGGCTGTGTCCCGACAATACTTATTTACAAAACTCAGGCAGCAGCCTGGATCAGATCCACAGGGCTAACCTCTGATACGGATTCTGCAGACCTCAAAACAGTCATTGTTCTACTGACAAACTTTCATAATGAGGCTGTTAAAATCCAAAATTAAAAAGAAAATGTATATTAAGCAACATAGCAAACAACTACTTCTAAATTGTTATATATATTTGGGCATTCCATGCCAGCTTTGAGTATTAAACATGGTTTCTAAGACTATGAAAGTTTGGAAACTACTAGCAGAGAACTTTGCTGCTGTGAAAGTGATTTCATACCCGTTTTCAAACTAGGTTTGGCTCTCATTACTTATTCAGAAATCACATTTGTTCTGGAGAAAGCCCCAGTCCGGGGCTGTACTGAAGGCGGGTGGAAGTGGATGACTTCCCTGTTCTTAAATCATTCTAAACAGAGCCATTCACAAGCCCCTCCGGGTGTTGGGGGCCCTTCTCAGCACAGGGGCCTGCAATACTACTAAAGGCTGGTGTGGCCACAGCCTGACTGTTCTACCCACCTGCCCCTGGGTTGAGCCTTCTATCCTGTTCAGAGGCTGACCAGTTCAGCTCTCTCCTTGTAACTGGTAGGGACTGTGTCGGCGATGGCCCAGACACCACAGAAGCACCGAGTCAGTACCCCATCAACCACAGATGCCTTCCCTTCCCAGAGAAGTGCAAGGGTGGGGGCCAGATTTCTTGCTGGGACTGATGTTTCCCTCTGGGCCAGCCCCATCCCCTACAGATTCTTTCACACTGCTGGCAGAGCCCACATGGATAAAAGATGATTTGAGAAAGAAGCAGGGAAGGGTGCCAAAATAGAGAAGTTTTCCCTAGGAGGTCTCTGGCATCCCTAGGAGGTCTCTGCTTCCACCTAGATCAAGTATCTACTGCACACCTGGCAGAAAAATCCAGATTCTGCCCTGAGATGGTATGCACACAGGGAAATAAATGCCAAGTTGAGGCACAATGAGATAGGCCAGGATGCCAAGGCGGGGAACCCCATGGGTTGACTATGGTGTCACTGATTCCTAAAATGCAGGTCTTCCTGGGGAAGGCTGCCCTGGATGCTGTTACTGACTTTCTTGGGGAAGCTGCTTCGTGGAGAAGAAAGGGCTGGGTCGCCAGAGCCCCAAGAAAGAGCTCCTACCCCTCCCCCCCAACCAAGTTGTATCAGAATCAAAATACAGCTTCCTGGGCCTCTAACCCCAGAGTCTGCTTTGGAAAATCCAGCAGGCCAGGAAATCAGCTCCCCGCCCCCCTTTTTAACCAGGCACCCCTACCCATTCCCCGGGTGATTCTGATGTACTTCAGACAAAACATCCAAATATACATTTCTGACGTGGAGCCTCAAACACCACACACCTGACCCAAACTTCTAACTTGAAACCACAACCCCTACCTGAAAAGCGTCACCAAAGCGCGGGTGCACACACACACACGCCAGTGCTGGGGCCCTCCCTGGGCCAACTGAGTCAGTTGGGGTGGGGTTCTAGGGAGGGTTTAAATCGCGGGTGATCAGTGGAGGGGGGGCGGAGGGATGTGGGGGGTGGAGTGCAGGGTGGGGGTGAGTGGGAAGGACGGTAGGGGAGGGGGAGGGTCAGACACCCTTACAGTTCTTTACAACACAGAGGATGCTGAGCAGATGCTCGAGGTCCTGTGACTAGGCAGTGGGTGGGAGCAGGCTCTGCAGACAAGATGGCTATGGGGGTGGCAGAGGGGAGCAGAGGTCGGCTGGAGCTCTAGAAGGCAGGAGGACACAGGGACGCTAACAGGTGGGGAGGCTGGCTCCTCGGAGAGGCGTTGTTGCAGGAACAGATGGAAACCGAGGAACGGGGTGCTGGGTGCTGGGGCAGGTCTGTGCTGCTGAAGGCGTGAGGACTTCCAGCTTCCACAGAGGCTCCAGGAAGGAAAGAATGAGGATGACGGCAATGTGACAGTAATAATAACACATCGTTCTGAAGAGGAAGAGCGCTCACAAGCCACGCAGGAAGACAAAAGTGGCGCCCAGCAAGCTGCTTCTTACCTGTGCTGCAGACACCACTTTCGGTGGCCGAAACTAAAACGCTGTTCTCTTTGAAAACCAGCGTTCATGTCCACTCCTGCTGCAGCGCCCGCCTCTCACACTCTGCTCCTCCCTCTGCAAGGGAGAGCTCGCCTGGCCAGTATCTCTTGAGGTTCCTCCATGAACTAGTCTGAGGCCTCTGGGTCTGTGCCTGGAATTCTGCAGAGAACAGGGGAAAAACACGGTCAAAGACTTTGCTTGGTCAACTTCTTTAGACACAGGACAGTCTCTGCTGGGCCCCAGGAGGTCCAGGCCCCCACCTCCTCCCAGCTGTGCTTACTCCATGTCTCTGCATCTCATTTAATTAAGGTGCACACTGCTTCTTTAAACACAATGCTAGCCTACACTTAGCGGACTACTGCACAGCGTAAACGCAATTTTATATGCACTAGGAAACCAAAGGCCAACAACTTGCTTTATAACAGTGGCCTGGACTGGCACCCAAAACATCTCTGGGGTGTGCCTGTCACCCCCCAGGCCTGTGAATTCAATGGATTTTACTCCCATAATGAGGTGACATGCAAGTAGATGGGCTTGTCCTTTCTCTGGTTGATCACAGAGGAGGAGGTTGTGGAGTCAAAATCAGAGGGAGGATTGATGCGTGCTGCTGCCACGGAGATGGAGGGGCCCCCTGAGAAGGACCAGGGTGCAGACTTCCTGCCCCCAAGACACCCCTTGCTGACAGCCAGGAAGAAGAGTGGACCTCAGTCCTACAATCACAGGACCTGAGAGCACTGAGAAAGCAGAGTTTCCCCAGAGCCTCCAGGTGTGAACTCAGCCTGTCTTGACTGCAGCCCTTATTCCCTGACTGTAGCCCTTAGCACAGCATCCAGCCCCCACACTTCTTTTCTACAGAATTGTGAGCAAATAAATGAGCCTTGTTTTAAGCTACTATGTTTGAAGTATTTTGCTGGAGAAATGAAAGAGAAACAGCAAGAGAAAATGAAACAACCTGTAGAAAGGAACTCACTTTGGGCTTGGGTGAGAATTCAATACCATAATAGGGAGAGCACAGCGCATTGCCCCCAAATACTAAGCAGAACAGAGCTTTCAGAAGGCGTGGCCCAGACCAGGAGCTCAACACACCTCCAGGTGAACAGCTGAAGGAGGGTCAGTTTTTGCCCCTTGTAGCCAGGAGTTATGAGGGTCAAATAAGAAAACACAGCGGAGAGGGTGTCACGAGCTGGAGAGGCCAAGTTGTAGCAGATTGTACTGTTCATCCAGAGTGCGGTCACGGAGCCCTTTAAATCAGCGAGGTGATGGTGTGACCCGCCATCGCCACCTGCACTCTGGCTTATCCGCTGGAGGCACAGTGTGGCGTGAAGGCTGAGAACCTGGGGCCAGGACGCCTGGTTCAAGTCCCCGTCATTGCATGCATTATCCCTGATGCTCTGGAAAATGGCCTTGCCTTACTGTGCCTGGAAAGGGGGCTAGGAACGGCATGTTTACCTGGGGTTTCCATCACGTGGTAGGGTAAAGACCCAAGGCCAGTGCCTGGCACCCGGCACTGTGTGGGCATTCCCCCATGCACCAGGAACAACACAGGGTTATGTCACTGTACACAGGCCCAAGGGCACCACCGCCTCCCTTCTCTTGGACACATGCTTTGGCGACCTCATGTCACTGCTGACCCGATGCCACAGACAGGCAACCAAAACCCCTGTGCCGTCCCCTCCCTTCCACGCCTCCTGCTACCAAAACTCTAGGGAGCCTGGTCCCATGCCCGGGGGACCAGCTTTGTGGCTCCCGACTATCATGTCTATTATTCCCTGTCTCTGTTCTCCAAACCATCAAAACTTCTCCATCACATCTAACCTCACACCCTCCAATAGATTTCAATTATGAATAAAACATCATGCTCTATTCTGCCCAGGGCAGAAACTGTGTCGATAAACATAGTCCACAATTTCCCACCTCCCAGCCTTTGCTCAAAGGTGACTCTCTTGCTCACAACTATCTTCCTGGCCAAAGCCTGCACAGTTGCCCTCAAAAGTTCAACATGCGGGCCCTCCCTGGTGGCGCAGCGGGTTAAAGCCCTAAAACAAAGAAGCTGAAACCAGTTCCTCATGAGTTCGATTCCCGCCTGCCCCGGAGGAGATCCACATGGCGCGGCAGACGTCTCCTGACCCGCCCGCTGCTCCCCTCAGCAGTGTACTTCGTCGATCTGCCTGTTCTGCTCCCCACTCTGTCTCTGGTGAATCCTCTCACCCTCTGCATCTCTGGCCTGTACCCCAATTCTGTATGCATAAATAAATAAATCTTTAAAAAAAAAAAGTTCAACATGCTTCCCCACAACTGGACTTAAATGCTGCCTCCCCAGAACTCCCAGAGCACACCTGCTGGGTTTCTTAAATAATAGAGTCCTCTGTGCACAGCGACTCTAGGGTCTCTGTGGACTGCATGCACCTCGGGCGGGGTCAGCCTGGCCACCCCCACCCCCAGAGCCTGGTGGGGTGTCTCACACAATCAGTGTAGAACACTTCTCCTTAGGACCCAAGTCTATGTTCATGCCTTTAATAGATGTGAAATCAATGCCTATTTTGGGTCAGGCCAGGTAGTAAAGTGCTGGGGATCAAAGATGGCAAAGATTCAGTCCTTAGCTTCAAAGGAAGCACAGTTGGGGGTGGAAGAGGGTCTGGGAATCAAAGGCAAGCATTCCAGTGTCACTAGCTCTAAGCCACTACTACATGGTGAAGGCATCGAGAAAAGAGAATCAATTGCGATGAGGTCCGAATGTGAGAGCACAGATATTTTAAACAAAGGGAGCAGAGCAAATAGACAGGAGACTCCAAACTGGCTGAAGGTTCAAGAAATCACATGCCATCTGTATAGCTGGAGGCAAGGAGCAGAACAGCTCACGAGGGAAGAGTTGGGTGGGGCAAGAGCTGGACACATGAACCAGCCTGGATTGGATCATTCAACTGAGTGAGGTCACCAAATCGCTTTAATCGTGAGGTAATGCGGTCAGAACAAGGGTGTGCTCGAGGAGAGCAGGGCAAGGTGGAGAGGAGCCCCACGCTCCTGCTTACCAGTGAGGCCAGAGGCACCTGAAGGTTGCTCCGGGCCGCAGCAGCAGGTGGAAGGACCTGTGGACACACGTGCCTCTGGGTTCCTGGGAAATACTACACATACCAGAGCCTCCACATGGCAGACCAAGCCCATTTATTTACCTCTTTTCCACCAAACACCACTGAAATAAAAGAGGGATGAACATATAATAAAGTCAGTTGACCAGCTGGCCAGCAAGCCCAAGGAAAAGCAGAGCGTGGGTATGACAGCAAAATAAGCCAGCCTGGCTCAAAAGGAGAGTCCATGTGCCCAACACCAGGAAACCCAGAGGCCGCAGTGCTGGGGTGGGGCAGGCTAGACAGACTTCCTGATAGCACGGACAACGAGGAATCCCTCAGACGCCCAAAGATACAAAAATGGGGGTCGGGGAATGGAAACCACCCACCCCCACACCTCACTATCTTCGTCAGTGTGACTCTCTCCAGGATACTCTAGCCCTAGCAACTGGCCTGACTGTTGCTGACAGAAACAGAAAGATTTATCAGCTCTTTAATCCACGGCTCCAAGAAACCCTAAATTCGTTGCCGTTCTTCAAAATTCCTCCTCACATTTCTACTAGTCCCAGACGTTTGTATTTCTTCCCTAATCCAGACCACACTCCACACTAACACAACCATTTTAGAGGAGACTTTTGACCTCCAGCAAAGCCCCACTGGGCCTCCCTCTTCTAGACAAGCCAAGGCTCCACAGGGGTAACATTCTCCTAACCCAGGTGAGCTATAAACTCAGATTTGTCTCTGCCAATCACTACAAAAATGTTGAGGTGCTCATTGACATTGGACTTGACATCTGCATCGTTAACTGCTAGAGGGCAACAGAGCAAAGATTACAGAGCTCTGAGGAAAAAGGGTTGAAACCCTGAGATCAGTTACTCAGCCAAGTCTCAAAGCCAAAGACAGAAGTACTAAAAATAGTGAGCCGCCCACTTACCTTAGACAATTACTCAAGGAATTCTCCAATAAAATAGAAACTCTATCAGAATACGTAATTCAATAAAGTGCAAGCAGGATACACAGGAAACAGTGATGAACAATAAAAGGAGAAAAATGTACAGTCAAATCTAAAGAAATGTTAATCAGCACGATCTCATGTTGAGAGCTAGATACCATTTAATATTTGATATTAACAGTTTCAATTTTTGCTTTAAGGGTAACAATAGCTAGATGAAAAGTGAGACACTGATCTTTAAACCACTGTGAGTAGAGGGGAGAAATAAGAAAATTCGAGTAATTTGGAAAGAGTCAGAAAAAGAAACTAAATAGGAAAGAAATGTGTGTCACAAGTAAAAGACATACAATAAGATATCAATAAATATGTGATTGTGAATAAAGTGCTCTACATGAAGGCAGGAGACTAGGGTGGGTACAAAGAAGTCCAGCCATATGCTGTTTGGAAGTAACACATTTAAATTGACAAGGAAAAACTAAAATCAAAGAAATGGCAAAAGGACCTATCAGGCAAAATGGCAACAAAAAGCACACAAGAAATCATCACCATCAGACAAAATACGAAGATGTTAATACGATAAAATGGGGCATTTGTAATGCTCATGGATCTGTTTTTCTACAGAACCATAAAGGACAAGAAACCACAAGAAGGTGAAAACAATAAATCCCTGGCGCATAGGAAGCACACACAAAAAAAAAGGAGAATTTGGAGATAGTAAGTTTAACTTCATATATACTCAACAAACAAAAAAAAAAAGAGAGAGAGAGAGAGAAAGCACCCTATTCTCAAATTTTCCTGTATCAGACAAGAAGAAAATCTCAAATTCCAAAATGGACACCATAGTCTCAGTTCTCAATACAATGGAATTAGATTTAACAGGTAGCCAACAAGCAAACTATGTGCATGAAAATTTTTAAATGTTTTCTAGATAACTCGAGCCAGGAGACAGCAACACAGATATGTCAGATGCTTATAAATGGAGAACCCTACTTTAAAACTCTGAAATGCAACCAAACCTGCACTGAGAGGAA